AAAAGTTAGGCGGCAGCTGTCATTTGTAAGGAGCACACAGAGCTCCTGGGATTTGTACATCTCTGTTTTAATGTACGATTTTGTTTTTATAAATATAAATAAAGGGATGCACCGATACCAGTTTTGCGAGTACAAGTACTGATACTTGCCCAAGTTCTTACAAGTACGAGTACTGATACATTTTTTTTTATTGTCATGTGACAGTTTTTCTAAAACAATACAGACTAATGATTTCAGGACCGTGGTGGAGCGCCAGAGCCAGGTCCCAGCTGCAACCGCTGCAACCCTGGTAGTTCTCATGAAAATGCCAATTATCAGCATTGGCACTCGAAAAGTAACGGTGCATCCTTAGTTTAAACCCCTTGCTGTTTGCACCATTTCTATGCCTCACAAGCACATCATACACAATACAATCTGACTGTACAGTCATTTTACAATCTTTTAGGTTTGCAGAAACAATATGATAATATGACTTACTTAAAACAATGCAATCATGATCTTAAGATCTTGGTTGTGTTGCAATGCCAGATTTCAACAGCTGACGGCCCAGGTGACCCTTCTAATTGCATATACAGCTATTCCTCACTTATCGACCGAGTTCCGTTCCTATGACCAGATTGTTAAACAAATCGGTCATTAAGCAGGGAACTGTATACAGTACTGTGCTGCATTAGTACAGTGCTGTATAGTGTTGGAGATGTACAGTACTGTACAGTGTACTGTAAATCTGTCAATACAGTACTTACAGAGACTAGCAGCGGACAACGGCGTATAGCACTAAAGACGTTGAGACAACGCACTTACTGACGGAGAGTTGGTCGTAAGTGCGAGTGATTGCAAAACCGGCAAGTCGTTAAGTGAGGAATATCTGTAGTGGGAAAACCTAAACATATTGTTAAAACGGAACCTCCTTGTCACTCTGGGGAGAGGTCTTGAGCAAATTAGATTTCCATTATAAATAGAACCTAAAATTGTCACTCTGGGAAGAGGTCTCCAGCAAATGGGATTTCCGTTATAACATTGCCAAAAGCAATTCTAAAAGAACATATCGTTTTTAGCACCATTTAAACAATGACTAAACATTAGCGTTTATAAATGTTACAGCATATGGACAATAGAAATCGCCAACACTCCGTAAATGAAATTAAAAAAAAGTCAATTTATTTGGACTAAATGTCACACATATCGCATAATCCAACGTTTCGGGACCACGCAGGGTCCCTTCATCAGGGCTGAAATGTGACACATCTCTGCCCTGATGAATGGACCCTGCGTTGTCCCGAAACGTTGGATTATGCGATATGTGTGACGTTTAGTCCAAATAAATTGATTTTTTTTTAAATTTCATTTACAGAGTGTTGGTGATTTCTATTCTTCATTGACTGTTGTACACGGCGCCATCCGTGATTGTCACTGCAAGCACCACTATTTTCACTTGGACCGGAAGCGCTGCAAGGAGTGCAGGGGGACCTACTGCTTTCTGTTACAGTATATAACATTTTTTTATGAATATGGGGTTTCCTATGGGTTCTACCAGTGTTGCTATACATCAGTGGGGTTTGTGATGTGACTTCACTGGTCTGATTTACTGATTTACTAACAGAAGTTAACCCCAGGTACAGGTGATACATGCTGACACCTTCACAATGTTATTAAGCTGATATTTGGTTATGAACAATAATGTATTCATTCTTAAAGGACAATACAGAAACTAAATGTATACATTTTCTGTATGATAATTGTGCATACAATGGATAGTAATGTAATTTAATGTATTCAATACATTAAGAAGGGATGCACCGATACCGATACTAGTATTGGTCGTTGTGTGATTACCGAGTACTTGGGCGAGTACTCGTACTTGCCCAAATGCTCCGATGCTTGCCACCGATATTGAAATTTCCAGTCAGAGAGATATCTCCCTCTGACCGTCAGTGCTGAGGGAGCAGGAAGTCGGTTATGAGCCACCTCCCGGCTTCCTGATTGGCTAGAAAGCTGGCTTTACTTGTTTCTAGGCAGCCTGGCTTTCTAACCAAACAGAAGGCCGGGCAGCATGTAATGACCTACCTTCCAGTCTCCTGATTGGTCAGGATGCCAGGCTGCCTAGGAACAAGTGAAGCCAGTCATGACATGCCGCCAGGCTTCCTAATTAGCTAGGAAGCTGTCTTCACTTGTTGTTAAAACTGAGTAAAAAATGTATTGAGAGCGCTACTACTGTACTGAAACAAACAGGAGGACTCACATTTGAGAAGTCATCTGCGGGGGGAAATCCAGTGAGGTCCCTGGGTGAATACAGACCTGAAGAGTCCAGTGGTCTGGTGGATAAACTGCCTATGAAAACGAGGGCTGCAATGGAAGGTCAGCTGGCTCTTGCAAGGAGTCAGCTGGCCAGGCTGAGCCGTTGCAGCCGGGGGCACTGTGGGTCTAAAGTGCTGTTTGACGTCGGCTCTCTGTCAGTTGGCTCGGGAGGCAGAGCGGTGGTTTTTACAGTGACGGACGCCGGACGGTAGTGGTAGGAGGGTCAAAGAGCACTGGAGGGCAGTGAAAGCTGGGTCATTGCAGCCCTCGTTTTCATAGGCAGTTTATCCACCAGACCACTGGACTCTTCAGGTCTGTATTCACCCAGGGACCTCACTGGATTTCCTCCCGCAGATGACTTCTCAAATGTGAGTTCTCATGTTTGTTTCAGTACAGTAGTAGCGCTCTCAATACATTTTTTACTCAGTTTTACCACAGGGCTCCTCTCTCTGTTTTTGCATAGAGCTTGCACACTGTAATCTCTGTCCTTATACCACATCCACCACAGGTTTGTACCCCTTGGTAGTGTGCTTGATCTTTTCGTTTTTATCTTGTTTATTCAGTTGTTGTTAGGCATCCTGGCTTCCTAACCAAACAGGAAGCCAAACGGCACCTCATTACCCCCTGCCTGGCTTGCTGATTGGTGAAAAAAACAGTATCGGTGCATCCCTAAAATTGAGTCAAGTCAAGAAGTTTGTAGCAAAAGTCTTAAAGAAGAATTCCAGTCAAAATAAAACTTAACCCTTGGAGTGGGGCTACCTCTTACTGCAAGGGTTATGTGCTCGTTTTGGTCTGGGGTCTAAAATAACAAAGATATACTCACACCAACCTTGGTCCCGCCTAGCTGCTAGACCAGTCCCACAGCCTCTCTCCCTATCCACTTAATCACCCGTGACGTCATAATGTTTAATGTGTCTAATGCAGTGTATTAGATGTGAGGGCCCCAAGGGATATTCCACTGCTAGAACAGAGGCGGAAAAGAGGCTGTTGGAACCAGTCAAGCAACCAGGCCGGATTGTGGTTCAGGTAAGTATATCTTTGTTATTTTAGACCCTAGACCAAAATGAGCGCTTCACCCTTGCAGCAAGCTGCAAGCTCAGAGACGCAAATAGACCACGAAAGCACAGATCTTCTTGACATAGTCAAAATGCATCAGAAATTGAAGCAACACCAGGTATTTACTAGTACAGGGGTAGGCAACATTGGCACTCCAGCTGTTGGGGAACTATAAGTCCCATGAGCATTGCAGGACTGCACAGCCACAGGCATGACTCCCAGAGGCAGAGGCATGATGGCATTTGTAACTTTAGCACAGCTGGTGTGCCTAGCCCTATGCTAATACATGAGTGAGCAGTGGAAGAAAAGGCAACACTTACAAGAGAGTTTAATATTACAGCAATGCAGAAATCAAATACCAATTTTAGGGTTAACATACACTTTAACCTTAGCTTAAACTGTAGACGTAGACTTAACCTTAACCCAAGCCCAAACGATACAATCACAGGGTCATAATGCTAATCATTTTCAGCAATGTATGGTCTGAATTTTGAATGCTTGGCAATCAATTGTGCCTAAAGGTTTCACAATGTCTTGGTTGTGATTTACGTTGATTTCCAGCCTTATTGCACCTTCATTACCTGTGAATTGTCTTTATTAGTAATTTATTTTTCAAAAGTCTGAGGTTGTGACAATCCAC